CCCTGTCCACCCTGCCCACCCTGCCCACTCCGCGGCCACCCTGTCCACCCTGCCCACTCTGCCCACCCCGCCCCCACTGCCCTCCCGCCCGGCGCCTTTGGTGCTCAGAGGCCCGGGCACAGCCTGAGGCGGATGCTGAGGTCAAGGTCAAGGCGTCAAGGTCAAGACCCCGGAGCGACTGCGCGCCTCGCTCCCCGCGCAGCCTGCGGATGGGACCTGGGCCCGTCCTCCTGCGCCGGGCGGCCCGCGGGGCTCTAAACGCTCGTTGCGCAAGGGGGACACTGAGCCCACGAAAGCGAGCGGCCGCAGGGCCGGGGGGCGGGGCGGGGCCGGGCGAGGGGTCAGCGCCTGGGGGCAGCCGGCCCCGCGCGCGCCAGGGCCCCCTCACCGCAGAGGAGACGCTGTGGCCTGGGGGGCAGCAACGGGACAGGGACCCTGTGTCCATCGCGCCCTCTCCCCGCCCTGCACCCCGGCCCAGCCCAGGCCCAGCTTTCCCCGGGGGCTGAGCTCGTGCGTCCGCTCCGCGCGGCTGAGCCCCACCGGACGGCGTCGGCTCCTCCTCCGGACCTGCGGAGCCCCGGGACACGCGGCACCACCCTGCCTCGGCCTCCCCGCGGCGCGCACCACCCCCGGCCCGGCCGCCAGGCTCACCTCGCTCGCGCACGAAGTAGGCCAGGTAGAGGTCCAGCTCCTTGACGGCCACGCCGATGTGGTGCGGCTGCACGCAGAGCACCGGGTGGCCGCACTGCGCCGCCTTCACCAGCCGCTCGCCGTCCGTGCTCTCCAGCGGGATGCCCTTGAACAGGATGACCATGACCAGGTCGAGGCGCCACACCTTGTCGGCCTGGCGCAGGCAGTCGATGCGCCGCATCTTGCCCTTCTGGTCGGGGTTGGAGAGCACGCAGCCCGGCGCCTTCTTGCCCGTGATGGCCAGCACGAAGTCCTCGCGGCACTCGGGCCGGATGTCCTTGCGCAGCTTGGCCAGCAGCCGCGACGCCCACTTCTGCTTCACCTCGGCCTTCTCGCCCAGCAGCTCGTCCTTCACCGCGCGCTCCTCGTCCTTGGACATCCGCTTCTCGTGCTTCTTGAAGTACTTGCGCTTCCGCGCCTGCAGGTTGAACCAGGTGTAGGCGAAGGCGCGCACGTGCGGCAGCAGCGCCTCGATGAACGGGTGGAACTCATCCTGCGGGCGACAGGCCAAGGTCACTGCGCGGCCGCCGGCTCCGCCCTCAGACCCTCGGAGCCGCGGCATGGCCCGCGCGGGGAAACTGAGGCTGAGGTGCCGGGGGCGGCGCAGGCGAGGCCAGGGTTCCGGGGGTGCTCTGGGACCCCAGGATACACACGAGTAGCTGAGGTCCCTGTGCCCAGAGGCCCACAGCACAGACGGGGACAATGTCACGGGGCAATGTCACGGTCCCCTCCTTAGCCTGCACACTTTATCATAAAGGAGAAGAGACAGCCAGGCAGCATCTGTCTGCAACTGTTCAGCCCTGTAGTTTTTCCAGGACCAGGACAGACCCCAGGGCCTTTGCACTGAGCTGCATCTCTAGCCCTCTTTGTTTATTTGTCTGTTTGTTTGTTTTTTGTTTTTTTTGAGACAGGGTCTCACTATATGGTTCAAGCTGGCCTTGGGCTCACTTTGTAGCCCAGGCTGGTCTTGAACTCAGAATGATCCTCCTGCCTCAGCCTCCCGAGTACTGGGATTACAGGCTTGTGCCATATTTATTTATTTTTTAATTTTTTGTCTTTTTGAGACAAGGTCTTGCCATGCAGTTCAGGCTGGCCTTTAGCTCACTTTGTAGCCCAGGCTGGTCTCAAACTTGAAATGATCCTCCTCCCTCAGGCTCCCCAGTTCTGGGATTACAGGCATGCACCACCACACCTGGCCCGTTTTATTTTTTAATTTACTTTTATTATTGTTATTGTTGTTACTTTGAAGTAGTAGGGATCAAACCCAGGGCCTTCACACTGAGCTCCATCCCCAGCCCTTTTTATTTTTATTTATTTATTTATTTGCCTTTTTATTTTATAGCCCTTTTTATTTTTTGAGACAGGTTCTCCCTAAGTCACTAAGTTGCCCAGGTTGGGCTTGAACTTGTGACCCTCCTGCCTCGGCCTCCCAGAGTGCTGGGATAAGAGGTGCGTACCACCACATCCGATTTCAACTTTGTATTTTACTGTAAAATGAGCCACAGATGAGACAAACGGGTTGGATGCAGCCGCAGCCCAGTAAAACTTTACAGCAATAAATGCCATGCATTCACCCTGGACTGCAGTTTGCAAACCTCTGTCACAGCCTAGGGGCTATGGAGTCCCCAGATGCCTACAGCAGGGCCGCGTAAACAGTGGGCCTCCATCCTGCGGGAGGAGGCAGGCTTGGAGAACAACGCCCAGGTCTGGTCTCAGGCCCTGTGCTGGGCAGGGAGAGGTGAGGCTGGGGGAGCTCAAGGGCTGCATCAGTCCAGCTGCCGCATGAAAGAAAAGACAAGGACCGGAGCTGGGTCTGCAGCCCACACTCCTGTGACTTCCCAATAAAAAATCAGCCACAGTGGGCCAGGCATGGTGACACACGCCTGTCCTCCCAGAACTCTGGGAGGCTGAGGCAGGAGGACTGCAAGCTCCATTCCAGCCTGGGCAACTTAGTAACTTAGACAAAGCCGTGTCAAATGAAAAAGAAAACTGGCCTGGCAGCAGAGGTCAGTGCAAAGGCCAAGGTTCAATCCCCAGAACTAGGGGGGAAAAGTGTACTGGGCCCCGCAGAGCGAAGTGTGGGGTATGGGAGGCCCCTGCCTTGATCTCCCCATTTTGCAGCAAGGAACACTGGATCCAGAGATCATCAAGGCCAGATTCTCAGCCACAGATGGGAGAGATTTGAGGACAAAGAAGGACAGGAGGTGGAAAACGTCCTCCCCACCCCTATTTCTCCCTACAGATATTCTTTTGGAATAGGAGTTCCCTCTCCCTTTTTATTTTTTGGTACTAGGAATTGAACTCATGACCTTGTGCTTGCTAGGCAGGCGCTTGTGCTGCTGAGCTATATCCTCAGCCCTGGAATATGAGTCCCCTTAGCCAAGGCTTGTGGGAATATCACCACAATGATGATTACTATTATGATTATGATTTTGTGTGTGAGGTGCTGGGGACAGAACCCAAGGCCTGGTGCATGCTGGGCAAGGGCTTACCACTGAGCCACACCCCCCACACTTTCATTATGTTGAGACAGGGTCTTGTTATCTTGTCCAGGCTGGGCTGGAACTTGCAATCCTCCTGCCTCAGCCTCTAAGTGCTGGGATGACAGACATGTGCCACCATGCCCAATCATCCATGCTATTTTTTTTTTTTTTTTTTTTTTACTTTTTGAGACAGGGTCTCGCTATGCAGTTCAGGCTGATCTTGAGCTCACTTTGTAGCCCAGGCTGGCCTCGAACTCGCAATGATCCTCCTGCCTCAGCCTCCCGAGTGCTGGGATTACAGGCGTGCGCCACCACGCCCGGCCATCCATGCTATTGTTGTCCACTACTTTGGCATCTCGTTGTCCTGATTATTTTGGTTGCTTATGACCTTCCAGGAAGCAAGAAAAGCCCCCGAAGTTCTGCTACCCCACATTAATGGGGAAAAAGGCTTAGAAAGGGGCCAAGACCTGGCCAAGGTCTCACAGGGTTTCAGGGCCAGTGTTCGGATGAGAACTAGCACCCCGGTGTCGGTGGAGAACACCTGTCATCCCAGCACTAAGAGAGGCTGAGGCAGGAGGATTGCAAGTTCCAGCTGAGCTTTGGCAATTTAGCACGTTAGTGAGACCCTGTCTTAAAAGTAAAAAGGCTGGGGATGTAGCTCAGTGCAAAAGCTATGGGTTCAATCCCCAGTGCTACGAAAACACAAAAACAGGATCCTGACGCCCTCTGTCTGGCCATCAACCCCTGTCCCTAAACAACCTGTCCTCCCTGGGGTCCAGGGACACAGGGGACAAGTCCCAGCCCCCGGCTCAGCTTCCGGCGGGCTCAGCACCGCTCCCAGGCCTGGCTGCACACAGTGCCCTGGGTGCCCGGGAAGAGGGACATCAGATTTCACCTCCTACCGAGGGTCTGAAAATAGCCTCCCCAGCTGAGACCAGGGCCCGGAGGGTGAGTCACCGGGACAGCTGTGGCGGCACTGGGTTCCCAGCCTCTTCTGCTGCTCTCCTCCTGGGGACCAACCAAGCTCAGGGAGGTGCGACCTGTTCCCCTCAGTCCCCACCTGGCTGCCCTCCCCAGCCTGGAAGCCAGTTGACACCGGGAGCGATTGGTCTCAGGCCACGCGGCCCAGACCACCTGGCCCAAGCAGCCTCAGGGGGAGGGGACAGCAGGAAGAGGGATCGATAGCGGCCAGGGTCACCGGCCGGAGGGCCAGGTGGCCAGCAGCACAGTGACATGCGCTGTGGTTGCCACCCAGCCTGGGGCTCGCTGTGGACGTCACTGGGGCTGGAAAGGGCAGCGGGGGTGTGCGGCGGGGGAGGGGCAAAGGCCCCTTCCTGTCCCCGGGACGCTCCCTTTCTCCGAGCCCCGCCCTCCTTTAGACCCGCCCCCAAACCCCCGCCCCTCGAGGCCCCTCCCCTTCTCCAAGTCCCTTTCCCACCCTGAGAAGGTGCCAGAGAGGCGGGCAGGGGCGGGAACCCACGTCACTGGTGACCCTGGCGGGTCGGTCCTGGAGGCAGGGAGACAAACAGCCTGTAACTGGGTCACGGACCTACTGCCTGGTCCTCCTTTGTCCTCCCCTAGGAGGTCAGACCAGGTGAGACGCAGAGCCTGTCCCTTGCTTTGTCCCACAAGACCTGCAACAGCCAGGGCCTCTTTCCCAGACACCTCCCAGTGCCCCCATAGACTGAACCGGACAAAGGAGACATGAGGCTGAGTATTCCTCCCAAACTCCTACACATCCCTCAGTGCCCTTTCCCTAATTCCCCCTTCCTGTTCTCCCCAGGGTTCACCCTAAAACAAGTTGGACCACACAGAACCGCAATCTCCGAATCCTGCTCTGTCATCCTCCTGAACTGTGTCCCTCTTTGTGCCTCCCTATGGCCCACGGTAGCTAACCAGAATCTGAAACTACCCTTCCCAGTCCCAAAAGTAAGCAATCCAACAGTCCCTAGTAGGTATCTAATCCACCTCCATTTAGGTGAAACTCCTATGTGTCCTTCAAAGCCCTCATTCCAATGCCCCCTCCTCCATGCTGGAAGGGACTTGCCCAAGAACACACAGCTGGTGAGCAGCAGCACTCCTATTCACACCTAGGCCCATCTAGCATCACAGTGGCAAACTTGAACAATTCCTTCCGCCAAGGTCCAAGCTTGAGATACCACTCATCTCACCTGTGAGGGAGGGATTCATTTGGTCGTTTAGAAAATATTCTGAGCTCCTGCTGAGTGCCAGCCCCCTGCATGGTGCTGGGGTCGTGCTGTGAGTTGCACCCTGCTTTCCTCTGGATCCTATCTGGGTTGGGTGTGAAACAGATCCCCAAATGCAGGACATGATGCGTGGCTGAGTAAAGGGCTCTGAAGACACCGAGCAGAGTATGAAGCCAGGGAGCCCTGGAGGCCCCTCTCTCGGCTGGGAATGGCTGCCCCAGGAAGGGCTCTTGTGGAAAAGGACACTTGGATAAGTCTGGGAAGCTGACAATCCAGATGAGGATTTTTCTGGGGACAGAACCCATGCAAAGGCCCTGGGGCCATAGGGAACCTGGCACTGGGGGACGCAGAGTATGGGGTGGAGAGACAGGAAATGGTGAGTCTTTCCTGGGGTCACAGAGTGCAACAGGGGCACCGTCACCACGCCTGCACTTGGAGAAGCCACCGAGCCCCCAGGCTCCTGGTCCCCTTGCACCCCTTCCTCTCACATGGGGCACTCTCTGTCCTGGCCGCACTCACAGCCTTGCACAGCATGGATTTTATATTTTACTCACTGCTGTGTCTCCAGTATTTGGACCAGTAGGGAGACAACCCGGTGACCCCTCATTCCTGTACCCCAACTTACAAGTGCCAGTGCCCCCCATCTGGTCAGGCTCAGGAAGACCCCAGGCAAGGCTGGGGCAGGAAGACCCTCTTTTTGTTTCTGTTCAATACCACACTTTTTTGGGGGGGACCAGGAATCGAACTCAGAACCTTGCGCTTGCCAGGCAGGCGCTTATGCCGCTGAGCTATGTCCCTGCCACAATACCACACTTGGTATTGAACCCAGGGCCTTCAAACTGAGCTCCATCCCCAGCCCCTTTTTTTATTTTGAGAGAAGGTCTCACTAAATCACTAAGTTGCCCAGGCAGCGTTCAAACTTGGGATCCTCCTGCCTCAGCCTCTCAGAGTGCTGGGAAGACAGGAGTGTGCCTATGCACTGGCCAGAGGCAGGATCTTCTGGCCACTATCACCCAGTCCAAAGCTCAGCTCACACTCAGTAGTGATAGGAAAACACCCCAAAGATGCAACTATTAGTCTATCAATGACCACCATCACAGCAGCACTTATTTGGCACCTACTGTACACCAGGTACCACACTAAGGGAGAGTATCTGAGAAAAACACGACTGTGCCCCCCTTTTACGTGGGGGCAAAACAGAGGCTCCGGAAGACCAAAGTCCCTTCTCTCAACCAGCAGAATCGCTCATTCACGAAGTGGACACACGTATTGGGCACCGACTGAGTGCCAGAACCCTCTGACCCTCAGAAGGGCCCCCGCCTCCTCCCAAGCTCAGGCTGCCCAGCAAGAGGTGAGGGGCACCATTCCCTTCATCTCAGGATGAGGAAACTGGGAGGGCGGTGTACAGCCACCTCCCCGGTGCCGCCTGCCTGAGTGTCACAGAGTTGGGGAAGAGGACAATGTGATTCCAGCTTCTTGAGCACGATCTTCAGGTGCATTTGAACGACGTCCCGGGGCTCGGGCTTGCGATCCCGCCCTGGCGTGCGGACCCACGCGCGGGTCGCTGGGGTCCGGGGAGGCGGGGCTGCAGGAGCACGTGCGCATGCGCATATGGGGGGCGGGCAGGGGAGACCCAAGGGCCCCAGCCAGCGGTGGAGGGAGCGCGGGGGGGGGGCGGGGGACGGGCAGGCCCCTGGCTGGAACATGGTGGCCTTTGCCATCTACATGGTGAAAGATGGAGAGAGAGAGAGAGAGAGAGAGAGAGAGAGAGAGAGAGAGAGAATCGCTGAGTCTGCCAGAATTGCAGCTTGGTGATTTACGGGGCGCCTGGCCCTGGCTCTGGGAGGTACAGAGTGGGGAGGGGGAGACAGAGACAGAGATGAGAGAGACAGAGAGACGGGAGGGCGGACAGGCGTGAGGGGACATTTGAGGGGAACATGCAGGGAGCCCCCAACTGCCCAGCTGCCAGACGGGACCTGGCACCAAACTCCGTGCCGTGCTGCCCGCAGCAGCCCCCTCCTCTTTGAGTTCAGCAGCTTTCCCAGCCCTGAGGTGCTGGGGGGGGCCTGCTAGAGCCCTCGCCCAAAGCCCACCCTGGGCCTGCACTCCGCTGCCTCAGCCTCCCTGAGCCCAGCTGCCACTTGGGGCCCCAGGAACAGCTTCGTACGCTCGATTCCATCCAACAGACTCCGGGGAGCCACTGTCTGCCTCAGTTTCCCCGCTGGGATCCTGGCAGTTGAAAGTTGCCGCCTGGAGAGGCAAGGAGGCGGAGGAATGAATGAATTCAATTTGGGAGGAGCTGCGGAGGTGGCCTCGGCCCAGGCCCAGCTCCAGGCCTGGGGAACCCTCAGCGCTGCAGCCAGCAGGGATTTGGCCCCAAACCCGGAATAACTAACGTGGCGCTGACGGGCGGGAAAGAGGGAGGGAGGGAGGGAAGGAGGGGGAGGGAGGCCCCCTCCCTGGCAGGATTTATGGAAGGAGTGGCAGGTCCACACAGTTCCTCTTAGGAGTAAAAGTGAAAAAGCGTTTGAGTCACCGCCGGACCTGGCCGGGGCTCCCAGAATCCTCCAGGGCGCCCGCCGCAGAGGCCCGGGTGGCACTGGGCGAGCTGGCACCAGTGCAGGCGCTGCCCCCCCTGCAGGTCTGCCGGGCTCCCAGAGGATCCGGGTCGGATCAGCTAAAAAGGGAGCTATTTAGGGAGGACCCGGGTTTGTAAAATGAGCTGGGTGAGAGACAGAGAGACAGACGGACAGAGAGAGTGGGGGACCCTTCAGAGCGGAGGGGACCGGGGAGAGGAGGGGGGTGGGGATCCGAGAGGAGCAGAGACCAGGCTCGAGGACAGCCTGAGATAGAGACCAGGAAGGGCCGCATGGCGGGCAGCGCGGAGCTGAGGAGACTGAGCAGAGAGCTGGGGTGCGGGGTCCCGTGGGGACCGCCACAGCTGGGGGGTCCTCAGCCCCCGTGGGGACCCAGAGCAGGCAGGCCCGGAGGGGACAAACGCAAGCTGCAGAGGACTTGAAGGGGCCCCAGGCTCCTCTCCAGGGCACAAAGGGGGCAAAGAGGAACCCTGGGGGTCAGTGGGGGACCCCCACCCGCACCCAGCCTGGGCGCTCTTTGTCTCTGTTCTGTGCCTTTGCCTGTCTCTCCGTCTCTTGAGTTCTGCAAGGTGAGCTCTTTCTGTTTCCCGGTAGCCCTCCTGGGGGGCCTTGGCCCTGTCTGGGGGGGACACTGAGGCCAGGTCCGCACAGCCAGTTCTCTGTGGCTCAAGTCCCCCCCAACCCCCAGCAGCAATGTGGATGCGGCGCTGCCCCGGCCCGACGGGGGAATTCCGAGGCACAGGCCGGCCTCCCGTGTGTCCCCTCCAGTTAGAGGGGACCCGACGCCCACCAACCAGTCAGGCCACCTCGCCCGCAAAAGACTTCAAAGCCTGGGCAAGGTCACACAGCAAGCCTGACTCCAGATTAGCTGTTTGGGGGAGCTTCAAGGAGACAGCTGCTTCAGGGGACCCCCTCCCCAAAAGCTGCTCAGAAAGAGAAACTGAGGCCTAGGGAGGCACTGGGACTTGTCCAAGGTCACCCAAGGCAGCCTGGTGAGGACAGGGCTGAGCCCCCCCTCAGCACCAGTCCCACGGTCCCTCTGATGAGGATCGTGCACGGGGCACCCCAAGCTGGCTCCGCCATGCCCCCCACGCCCTGGCTGGTCTTGCAGTTCATTCCTGTGGGCCCCAGCTTTCGGGTCTGGAGGGCACATTGCCCTGTGCCTTAGCCCCAGGTAACCTGGGGGAAACTAAGGCCGGAACCCCGCTGGCTAAGACACACAGCAGCATTAAAGGGGTGCAGTGCAGAGCGGGGATCAGGATCTGCGGTCCTCGGGGGTGGCGGTTGCAGCCCCCTCCCACACCCCCTTTGCCCATGTCCCAAGGCTCAGCCTGGGGCACACGGGATCCGCGCCAGGGGTGACAGCGAGCCAGGGAGGGGGCAGGTGGTGCTGGCAGCGCCGCAGTGACCCGCCAGGCCCGGCCGCCCGCTCCTCCCGCCCCAAAGCCGCGGCGGCAGCGGCGGCTCAATAATTCACGATCGATGCGGCGAAAATACCGGACAGGGCTGGGGAACTCGTGGGGAGGGGGCAGCGGTGACCCCACAGCTCCCTCTGCCCCGCGCCTCCAACTCCGTGCACCCCCTCCCCCACGCACACGTGGGCCGAGTGGGGGAGGCGCGGGCTGGGGGACCCGGAGGGTCCCCTTCCCTAAAACAGCTGGGATAGGGGCTCCAATGGGGACCCTCTGGATGACTCCCAGATGCAAAACCTCGTCTTTGCCTCTTTCGGGGGCTCCCCCTCCCCGATTTCCCCAAGTTGGGGGGAGCGTGCCCCGAGTGGGGGGAGGCCAGGACTGCAGCCAGGGGCCCTCGTCCAGAAGTGGGGAGCGGTCCCGAGCTCCGGCGGGCCAACTGGGCGGGAGTCTCTACTCTCGGGAGTCCCCGAATGTGCGTGTGATTTGCGGGGAGAGGGGTCCCCGGCCTAACCCATCCTCCGCCGGACCCCCAACCCGTGGAGGCAGCGGGAGGGACGCGCGCCTTTTTCCTCCCGCCTTGTCCGGCTTCCAAACTCGGGGTGCGGGGGGGCGCGGCGCCGGGGGTGGGGGCGCCCTTTTGGGGGGAGGTTTCGGGGGGCGCCGGGCGGGGGGCGTACCTGGGTCAGACACAGCGGGGACGAATACATCCCGGGCGCGGCGGGAGGCGCAGGGCGGCCGGAGCGGGCGCGGAACTTACTGAGTCATTTTCCAACCCCCCCAGGCCGCCGCCTCCTCCCTCGGGCTCCCGCCTCCTCCTCCTCCCTCGCTCCAGCGCGCGCCTCCCCGATCTCCCCGTCTCTGTCCGTCTCCCTCTTCCTTTCCTGCACCCCCTTCTCCTCTCCGTCTCTCCTCCCTCTCCCTCCTTCTCCCCCCCATTTCTCTCCCCTCCCACTTTGCAAGATCCAACTTTCAAAGAAAAGAGGGAAAAAAGAGCGCGAGTCAGGAAGGAAAGTCCCCCCCACACCCACACCCACCCCGAAGTCTCAGGAACCCTCCGCCTGACTAACACTCCCAGCTCCCCTCCACCATCCGCGCGCCCCCAAACCCACCCCAGTGTGGGGTCAGTGTGGACCCCGGACGCCCCCACCGCAACTATCCCACCCGCATCCAGGGGAGGCCGTGGCCGGGGTGGGGGGGCTGGGCTATTGCTGGACACAGAGGGGCCAGGGCTGGATTTTAGGCGCGCACCCCCCCCCCCCCCGCCCGTCGCCCCGAGCTGGCCGGGAAGTTGCAGGACCGAGCCAAGGGGGGAGGGAAGGAATGAAGCAGTGTCGTGCGCAGAGCGGCGGGAGCGCGCGCCTTTCCCCTTAAAGATGTAGAGCGGCCGGTGCCGGGGGCGCGCGTGGAGCGGGGGCGGAGTGCACGGCGCGGGCAGGGGGCTCTGAGGACCCTCTCTCCCTGCGTCCCTGGAGCCACACAGGGGCTGCTGCTCCGGGGCCGGAGAGGTTTGGGAGCAAGAGTCCCTCTAGCCAGAAGGGCCTACCCTCCTCTGCTGGAGCCAAAGGAGAAACGGGGGTACGGGGAGACATCGGCCTTGCTCGCTGTCTCCCCAAGACCCTGGAACGGACGGATCAGACCAGTGTGCAGCTGGCCACATAAATCCCAGCAACGCCTCTTCCCTGCCTGCCCAGCAATTCCTGCCAGCCCCGGCAGCGCGCACATTTCACAGACCGGGACACCGAGGCAGGGTGAGCACGGCTTGGAGACAGGCCACCTCCTGGCAGAGCCCAGATCTTTTTTTTTTCCTTTTGAGGTATCAGGGATCAAAGCCAGAGCCCCTCTGAGGCAAAGCAAGTGCTCCTCCTGGAGTATCTCCAGCCCTTTTGATTTTATTTTGACACAGTCTGGTAAAATTGCCCAGGTTGCCCTTGTACTAGCCATCCTCCTGCCTCAGCGTCCAGAGTAGCTGGGATAACAGGTGTGCACCACCAAGCCCGGCCTGAGGCTCTTAAAGCGGCACTGTTCTCATACCTGGCGACCTCCAGGCCGCCCCAGGCCACCTGTCTCTCCTCCTGTCTCCCTCAAGTGGCCCAGCGGCAACTTAAGCACTCACGACAAGGGGTCCCCGAATAAGAACAAAGTCACTTAGCACAACACCACTGGGTCATTCTTAGAAAACCCGGCCCCCTGTGACTCACCCCTCCTGCATCCAGAGCCCGCATGCCGCCCTTTCAACAAGTTGGGGCCCTGGCTCACGCTCAGGAGCATGGACTACACCCACAGCAAGGGAAACTGAGGCCGGCAGGATGAACCCTCTCTCTCAAGGCTGCCAGCTGGCTCAGGAGGCTGCCAGACGCTGGTTATGCCTGTCCCTGCCCACCCCCCCACACACCGGGTCCCTGTTCCACAGAAAGGCAGCTGAAGCCTCAATAAATGTTTTCTAACCTGCTGTACAGTGGGGAGGGGGATTAAAATCCCAGCAGGATGAAATGGGGGGCGGTGCCTGGAAATCCCAAGGCCAGCACAGCACAAGGTGCTGTTTTATTAAAGCAACCCATGAACACATGGGAGGTGAGCTCTAAAACGAACAGGCAGCCGAGTTTGGTGGTGCGTGCCTGTAGTTCCGGCACTTGGAAGGCTGAGGCAGGAGGATCACCACCAAGTTCAAGGCCAGGCTGGGCTACATAGTGAGTTCAAGGCCAGCCTGAACTACACAGCCTGTTTTTTTGTTTTGTGCTGTTCTGGTCTCAAGAACCAAACAAATGCACAGATATTTAAAAGCTGAAGTTGACCTCAGCCTGTTCTCCCACTCTGCATAGAGCCCCAGATACCCCTAGTCCCCCACTGGCCTCCAGGCAGCCATCACTTAGCAGTACGGGCAAGTACAACAGTAGGTTTGCTAAGTACACGGAAGGGGTACGGGGCAGCTGCCTGGGAACGTCTCCTGCCACCTAAAGCTAGCCCGTCTGTGCCTCAGTTTCCTCTCCGAAATGCCCCTGGATTGTGGATAAGCTAATATTTATTTATATCTGTGTCCCACACACAGGCGCACAAAGCAGGGCGTGACTGCCATCTGACAGCACGCGTGCCACCAACTGGAAAGCAGCCGCCATGCCTACCCGAAGGGCCAGTTCATGACTCCGGAATACTATACAGCTGGGCACAGCCCACGGCTCCCCACCGTCATCTCCACTGGCCGAGGGCGGCCGGGGTGGGCAAGCCATAGATCGGAGATGCTTCCCCTTGGTCCCATGTTGGTGGCGTCTTGGGCACTGGAGGCTGCTGACCAGCATCCACCCATCCACACCCGGACCACCTCCCCCACGTGTGACCACCAAAATACCCACAAGGGCCGAATCCCCTGGTCCGCCCCACTGCTACAGAGAACCCAGGAGCTCACTTAGGATTCTACCAAATAGCCACATATATCCCTTATAAAATCATGCATGTATCTTCTATAAGAATATAGATGTATCCCTCCATAGTTACAAATGTACCCTTTATAACAGTATACTGTAGCTGGGTGTGGTGGCCTGCACCTGTCATCCCAGCACTCTGAGAGGCTGAGGCAGGAAGATCCCAAGCTTGAGCTCAGCCTGGGCAATTTAGTGAGACCCTGTCTCAAAATAAAAAAATTTTAAAAGGGTTGGGGATGGAGCTCAGGGCAAAGGCCCTGGCTTCCATCCATAGGACTTGGGGGGGCGGTGTTCCCTTACAGAAATATGCATGTAGCCTTTATAAGAACACATATGCCAGGCATGCTGGTACATGCCTGTAATCCCAGAACTCTGGAGGCTGAGGCAGGAGGATCTTTGCAAGTTCAAGGCCAGCCTGGGCTACAAAGTGAGCTCAAGGCCAGCCTGAACTGCATAGCGAGACCCTGTCTCAATAAAAAAAACAAACAAACAAAGAAACACAAATGCACCCCTATGGATCTACACACCTGTCCTCCACAAGGCACACATCGGGGCCCTCAGGTGAGTGGACAGGGGCCTCCTGAAGGCTGGGATTCTGCTGTGTAGTCACTAGGGCAAAGCTCAGGGAGGCACCTCCGCCATGGGGTCCCGCCCAGGATGGGGGCAGCAGGCAGAAAGGGTCCCCGTCATTCTACACCCTCCTGTGCCCTCCTCCCCCTCTGGGGTTCAGTTGTGCGATTATTCATGCGATTAAAAAGCAAACCTGAAAACATCAAGCACACTTCACCGACGAGCTGGGCAGGTCCCCATTTTACAGATGGGGACCAGAGGTTCTGAGAGGATGGGGCAGTTCTCGCTCACACGAGAGAAAGCTGGGGTGTGTCCCTGGGCTGGAGCACACACACACACACACACACACACACACACACACACACACTCCACCACACCTGGCCTCAGGTACTGTCAGAGACCCCCAAGGTACCCACAGCCATACACACACCACTTCCCAGCCACACGACTGTTCCTCGCCCTCCACACGCTCCTCAGGCACACGCCTGTGCCCGCAGGTGGAAGCTCTGCGTGCTCACGCACAAGCACACACTTTCTGGGCCATGCACTTGGGATCACACGCACGTCCCAACACAATCACACATCCCTGCTCCTTCCCCGAACGCCTATGAACTCACGCCAGGGCTGGGGGAGGGGGCCTGGGGGGCGGGGGGCAGGAGAAGGGAACGACGCGGGTGTCGTTCTCCCCACAAGCGTGGGCCCCGGTGCCCGAGTGTGTGTGTGCTGTGTGCAGAGAAACACCTGCCCGGAGGGCGTGTCCTGGCGCGTGTTGTGCCCCGCACGGGAGGTAGTGGGACCTGAGACATCTGTCCAGGCCCCTGTGAGTGTGGGATCCCGAGGCTGGGGCAGGTGCAGCTGTCCCCTGGGCGTGCGTCTGTCTGTGTGTCCCTGGGAGACCAGTTCTTCTCCCCTTTCCAAACAGTACCCCAGAACGGGATGGGGATTTAAAGAAAAATAAAACAGCAGAGGCTCGAGCCTGGCCTCGAAGCTTTTATATTTAGAAAATTATATAAAAACGCGCGGGTGGGGGCGGGGCGCGGCGGGGATTCCCCCGGAGGCGAGAAAACAGCTCCGAGCGCCCGCCCCGTCTGGGCCACCCGAGGCCAGCGCTGGGAAAGCGCCCGGCGCCACGCGGGGTCCCCCGGGCAAAAGGGGTCTCCGGGGTCTCCTCGGTCGCCCCTCCGCCCCGGCCTAGGCCAGCACTGCGCCTCTGGAGCCGCCCCCTGCCCCTGGGGACCTCCGGAGCCGCAGAGGGAGGGGGAACCCCGCGCCCCGCCCAGCCCCGGGCAGGTCGCTGCGCACGCGCAGCCCCGGGTGACCGCGTCCCGGCGCCACCTCGCGCCCAGCCGGGACCACCTCCGGCCCGGCAGATGGGAGACACTAGGCTGGGTGGAGGGAAGGGGGCTGGAAGGGGTCCGATGAAGGGGGACAGCGCTTTGTAGAGGCTAAGAAAGCTCCCACCTCCCCCCCCCAGCACCCCGCGGCCTGACTTACAGGAAAAAAGGAACTGGGGGGTGAGGGGAGGGAGGGTCAGTGCAGACCCTCCCCAGGGACACTCGGCCCGGGAGTCGCACGCACGCAGCGACACCCAACTGTCCCCTGGGACGCAGCCACACGACAGTTTCGCACTCACCAGCCACCCCCAAACACACAACCTGCCACCCACTCACGCGGGGACACCCCACGGTCACCCAGGTACGCGCAGCGCGGACACTTTCGCACTGCCGGCCCGCAGGACGCGCGGTACCGTGACCCAGGCGCACCACGCTGCCGCGCAGCTACACAAAGCTCAGACCACACACGCAACACACGACACACGTGGATGCGCAGACACCCACGC